CACACACACGAGAGAGAAAGGAACGGCAGCAGGAACACGTCGAATGCCTGGCATGCGTTTTCCACATTGCTTCATGCGGTTGAATAAACACAAGCCGCACACACAGACAGCCACAGACATGGCATGCCCCATACAACATGTGCATTTTATGATCTACAGAGAACATACACAGAAAGAGACAGAAAGGCAGGCTAGAAAGAGAGGGAGAGACAGAAAGGCAGGCTAGAAAGAGAGGCAGAGACAGAAAGGCAGGCTAGAAAGAGAGACAGCAATAGCTGGCCAGAAAGAGATAGAATGAGAGCTGTGCAGAAGCGAGATGGATAGACACTTATTCGCTCGCTTGCCTCGGACAGGAGGCTTACAAAATAAACATTGCGGCATGTATTTTGTTTGTACACACTGCGTATACGTACTGTAAGGCCACACGCACACACACACGCACACACATTTCCTACCTGCCCCATACACACACACACACATAGGCGTACACATTGCAGTCACGTATGCACATTACTCAACACACAGGAGGCTGCCTGCTGGGACAGGGACAGGGGCGGACTCCTCTGGTCTGGCATTGTGCTAAAGAATTTAACCCTTGTGTGACTGACTGCTGACTGAATTGGTTGGGGATTTGTTTCCTTTATTTAAGTAATTCAACAAATTGGAAAGCAATAAAAATTTAACAAATTTATTGCACAAATATACATATATACAGATAGCAGTTTATTTATATTTATTGACGTTAAAGAACAAGGCAAAGGGGTGTTCGGGTGCTCATCACAGCGATAGACATTTACCACAAGAAATTCTAAGCTAATAAACGTACTAATATATGCAGAAATACGCATCTACAATTTTATTTATATATGAAATCGATTTTTTAAATTTATTTAATCGCAACTAAAATTTTGTGTGCAATGCATAATGGGAAATTCTCAATTAAATAGTTCTAAAGATAGGCCAACTCGTAGGTGCACTCAAAATTGGATTTGGCAGTATTAAGAAAATTGTTGAACATTTCGTGAGTGTTAATTGAATTGCGCTTTAAGTAGGCATTATATGGATCCAGGAACATGCGTTGCAGATCCTGCGTATTATCCGATGTGCGCCACAGTTTGTTCACTATATCTTGGACCTTACTGCTAGTCTGGCTTTCGGTATTACTGACTATATCCTTACTTTCGGACTTCCAGCTGTCGTACATTTGCCGGAACTTGGGCTGACTTTGGTAGCTCCTATTGCAGAGTATCTGTCGCTTGTAGGCGCACTTAAACTTTCTCAAAAATCGAATTGTCCCATCCGGTGTTTGAGTGAGGAGCGAAAAGTCGAGGTCATTAAATAATGACACGTCTTGAAACCAGAATTCTCTGGCAGCATTCGAATGGCCGACTTGCCAAGGCTATATGCCTTACGGCTTAGCGACTCTAGCATTTGGTTTCGATCTAGCTCTACCTCTTCCAGAAATCCACAGACCATCTCCTTTTCATTTCTCGTTGGAGTGGCACTGGCGAAGCCCTGCAAAAGAAAGTGCTTCAATTAGGATACCATAAGGTTCGGTATGGTTATTCCTCTCACCAGCACAGCTATTGCCACAGCAAAGATCAGGGTGTAACGCATCTTGTTCAGTGTTTCAAAGCAAACTGTCGCTAGCTGTGGATTTACTGCGCTTTTTATAGTCGATCGGTGCGTGGTTGATGGACGTTATCGCTGAATTTTACCAAGAGCGGGTACCAAGAACCGACCACGAGAATGTAGCACACAAAGCAATGGTGCAGTTCATGGGGTTCATGCTGATGAAGATGCTGCTCCATGTGGACAGGTCTTATCTCTGCCTTTTTCGCGCAAAATTGATATTCCTCTCATGGGGAAATTAAACAGAATTTTCCGGCTGAATGATTGTATTGATTTGACATTAAAATTCCGCTGAAGACATCAGAAACACTTTACAGACTGCATAAAGTAGGTTTATTTTCCCTAGAAATTCTTCCCAAAAGAGCTCTTTGCAATTGTTGAAACATTTTTGTTCAGCTTCAAATTGTTACACTAATTATTTTTTCATGCCCAATCTTTGGGATTAATAAATGACAACTTATAACAAAAGTTACAAAATGAGAAAGGCGGCATGAATATTTAAAATTTTAATTTGTTCCATGGCGGAGATTGGTAGGGTGGGGGTAGGGTGTTGCTGGTGTTGGGTGTCATCAGAATCAGCCCCTTGTCGGGGATTTGGGTTAAAAGTGAACTAATTTACATAGACCGCATGGTACAATGCGCAGGCGGCCGCATGGAGAAGGTAACAAAAAGATTCATTAGGGCCAATCAGTGCAAAGCGAGTCGTGGCGAAGGACATGGCGGAGAGGGCCTGCTGTTGCTGCCCTGGCCAAGAGAATGTGCCTGTGAGAGGGGGGCGTATGGGGCGGTGTAGGCAGGACAAGCCGTGTGTGCAAACGTAAACAGCTCTCTGTTAGCCATGTTGGCTCTGGGTACTGGGCTTTGGGCTTTCGGTACTGAGTACTGAGTAACTGGGTACTGGGCTCTGGGTTCTGGCTGGGGCTCTGGCTGGGTTGTTCCTCTGTTGTTTGCCTTATAAATACGCACGCTCTACTTTAAACAAAGCGTACCCATCCACCCATATACCCACAGCACACAGCACACATCACACATACATATATATTATATATATGTACATATGTACACGTATTACACGTGCCTGCCCCGTTGTTGTAAACAATTTGTTCAGTACCAGTACCCATGGCCAGCCTCTCCTCTGCTGCTGCTGCTGCTGCTACTATGGGTGTGTATCTGTGTGTGTGTGTGTGTGTGCCCCTCAGTATGTGCAAAACAAATTTAAACTTTACACCCAAAGTTTATTTTTATGAGGAAAACTTTAAATAATGAAATTATCTGACAAGAACTTGGATAAATGGGCATCTTCATCCACAAAAGAAAGTAAGAAACAGCCCAAGACCAAGACCAAAACCATAGAACGAGAGACAGAGAGTGAGAGAGAGGGTAGCGGGTAGTGGTAGACAGACAACAGCAGATACACAGAAAAGGGGGAGTCCAGTGTGGAGGGGCGTGTAGAGTAGAGGGATACTCTACTCTCGTACTCATATATAATGAATGGGAGAGGAGAGGAGCGGAGCGGAGAGAGACCTACCATAACTGATTGCCCCAATATAAAGTTTTGTGCAGTTGGCTCGAAACCAATCAATGGCGTAATTTATACCCGAGCACCGTTCCACGCACCTGAGTTAGCCGGGTTACTCGGCAACCAGATACCCCACCCCAACCCCCGATACCCATACCCAGCCCATACCTTTGTTTCGTTATCAAATATTTATTTACACTTGAGCTATAATAATTCATTGATGCATTGAATGCCTGGCACGACACGGCTATGACTCGGTCGCCTGCTGCCTGCTCGCTAGGCTAAGAGACCAGGCCAAGCCATGCCAAGCCAAGCCAGGCCAGGCTAGGCCAAAACAGGCCAGGTCTCGGTCTCAGGCACGACCCGGCAACGTAAACGTCAGGACTAACCTTTGGCCGATGTCCTTCAAAGGCGCCGTCGCTGTGAAAGCAACAGCTGTGCGCTCTCAATGGCCATCAAGCTAGCCAGCGAGAGAGAGCGAGCTGCTGCTTCCTTTTCAAAGCTTTCAGTTGGATTCCAAGCAAGTCCTTCCAGTTTCGAACTCGTCTCAGCCGACAAAAGCTTCGTTATCAGAGCTTTGACAGAGCAATAGAGGAAGGGCTGGGGCAATCAAATACGACCCCAGCGAGTGTTGTTTGATGCTTAAGCAGCAGCAAAGCTATCAGCAGAGGAAGGGAGGATATTTGGGTGTGGTTTCGGCTAGGAATAGGAGAGTTATAGTTGAATTTGTGGGCTCTACAGATTTGCTAGATATTAGGTATAGGAAATATCAGAAATCTAAAGTGAAAATGTTGCGACTAGTCTCTGGCATACTATGGCTGGTTTCTGTAGAAGATTTTTAACTAAATTACCAATAAAGTTCCGATATATTGTTGCCTACAGCAATCAAACCAAAATATACTCTAGAAATAAGATATATTATATTTTATTTCAAATAAATAAAATATTTAATATTTTAAGTTTATTTTGCACAGTATTTCCAAGTTAAAACTTTATTCAGAATCGCTCAGAAAGTGCAACTAATAAACACATTCGCACTTGGATTTTGTAGCATTATTAATGGGTTCCAAAATATTGTGATCAACCTTTGTATGCCGGCCAATGTAGGCATAGATTAAATTCGATAACTCCTGCCGATTCTTGTACACTTCCTCCGTCATTCGATCCATCAGATTGCCGCGAAGTTCGCTGCACTTTTTCATCGAATTGGTAGATTATGGCACCACTTTCGGACTTCCACATATTGTACATTTGTATCATTATTATAAATATATATATATGATTATATGTAGGGAAATTCCCATTGCCGATTATCTCTTCTGCGTACGGGCTTTTAAATTTATTCCAAAAAGCAATTATCTGAGCGCACTCATGAAACTTGCAGACCATTTTCAGATCTCGCTGTATTAATTGCTCGAAGCTTGAATTTGTTGGCAGGGAGTTTTTAATGGCATCGCGGCTAAGAGCTGCTGGCTGTAGCATTTCGTGTCGTTGTGTCTCAACGCCTTTCAGAAAGTCGCATATCAACTGCTGGTCAGTTCTCGGTTCAGCGAAGGCAGAGCGCGTACGACGCCTACCAGCACAGCTATAGTCACAGCAAAGATCGGGCAGTGGCGCATATTGAAATCAGACTAAAGATTGCTCAGAATTTGCTCGGCTTTTTATAGTAGCTGCCTCTGTGCGTGGCTTGACGTTATCGCAAAATTTTATGCAGGCATCGCGAACTATAAAAAAATCCATTGAACTCGAAATGAACTCGTTGCTATTAATAAGTACTTAAATATATTAATATATACCTGGTAATTCTCTTGTAGAACAAACTGCAGCTTAATCTCCTATGCATATAAAGTTTATTTATAAATTTGTTTATATATTATTCTGTTCTCATGCTATCAGAAGATCTCATTCAACATTCATCAAACAAATCCTATCAAACAATTCCTTTTATTTTATAAATACATATGTATTACCCACTATGTGATCAAGCAGAATTCTTTCTTTTAGCCAAGACATAACATTAGCAAATTCTAGAAAACATTTAAAGATTGGCCATTTTGCAGTCAAATAGTATAATATATGAATATAGTATATAATAGAACATTTTATATTAATTTTCACTTACGCTTAATAAACACAAGCAAAGTATAATTTCATAATTTTAAATTGATGATACATGGATACAACTTTTAATTATACAAAAGTATAAAGGATACAACAAAATTATTTCAAAAAAAGACTACAAAAGATTCCTATTACATTTAGTTGCCATTGTTCTTTGTAATTATATATTTTTTAACATGCGGTTTGAGCTTAAAACTAGTTTCTGTTCATGCGATTGAGTACTATATTGTTTAAAGAATTTTATAATGCGATATTGCTGAGCGAGTGGTTGGGGGGCGATATTCAGTCGTCAAACTCAAATACGGGCTTGCCATTGGCATCCCAGGTATTTTTGCATTTCTTGAAGGCACACACCAGATACAGAGCTAGAAGAGAACACAAGTTAAAATTTGTTTTGTTGCTATAGACATTTGTTAGCCAGCCACTCACTTGTTGCTTCCCACTCGGATTTGGAGAGTGTACCCAGCGGTCTGCCCCGCTGTGATGCCTGAAATTCCTGGACATGGGCAAATTGTTCATCATTGCCACAGCGCTGCGGCTGTATGGACTCCAATCCGGACATACGCTGCAGTAGATTTTTACCCTGGGGCAGCACCTCCTTGTAGTAGTCGGCAAATGTGGTCTTACGGACCAGTTTAAGGCCATACTTGCGGCCCAGCTTGACCAGAGTGGGGAAATGGACTAGAAATTCGGGACAATCCACGACGCCCTCCAAATGAAACTGATACTTTGCGCCGAACAGCGGCAGTGGATCCGTCTCGCAGTCGAATTTAATGTTGTAGACATCATTGCCAAAGCTTTCGGCATCTGGACCAGCCTCGCGCTTTCGTCGCATTATCTCAAAGGCATCCGGCATGGTGGCTATAAAATAACCGCCCGGCTCCAGGCACTCGGCCGCATTGCGCATCATGCAATCGGCCTGGCCCGGCGACTCGAAGCAATAGTGGAATGCAAACTGGCAGGAAACTAGATTCAGCTGCAGGGTGACATCCTTATACCGCTCGCGGAGACGCACCAGCGTTGAGTCGCAGGCAAAGAACTCGGCTGTAAATTTGTTAGCATACTTGGATTTCTCGGCGCGCTCCAATATGTCCTGGTACCGGCGCTGGCACTGCTCCACCGATACCTCGGCAATGTCCGTGCAAATGATATGCGTAATGGCGGCCTTCTCCCACTTCAACAGGTCGCCGCCCTTGCCGCAACACATGTCCAGCACTCGCAGTGCATCGCCCACGCGCTTCGATTCCTTTATCAGAGCCATGTACTCATTGATCAGCTGGCTCTTGAGCCAATTGTTGAAGTTGCGCATGAAGAATATCTTCGATTTCTGTCGATCCCTGCGTCCGCCCTCCTTCAGCTCGTTGTAATGATGCGCCACAACGTGGGTGTTTGCAGCGCCGCCCTCCTGGCTCTCATTGTACACCAAGCCACCTGCCGCATCCTCCTGGCCGGCATCTATTGAGGCTGCTGCTGTTGTCGGGGTTTCTGCATTGCCTTCGCTGCCCTCGTCGTCCGAGAGGCTGACGCTTTTGTGTGCCTGGGCAAACTTTTCATCGGCGGCATTTTGTTCGTAGTTGATGCTCATAATTTCACTTAATACTTTGTTCGGGATGGGAATCTTTTTTCGATGATTTTGCGTCACATTTTGGGAAAGGGGCCTGAGATTGAGTCACGGTTCATGCAGCTGCGAATTATAGTTGGAAAGCAAAAATTCAGCACGAAAATAAAAGAAAGTGCTAAATATATAATATATATCCATATGCAACTGCTAATATTATATAAAGAAAGAAATGATTAATCGCGCCACAAGGCAGTCACAGTATCGGCCATTGTTCATTGTCCATCACTATTCATGCGATAGTTGACAGTGCTGTAAACTGTTGCAACCGAATCAGCTGTTACCATGCGGTCGCCTGACAAAAAGAAACTCTAAATGCGTTTACTCGGATTTTTGAATAAATTAAACCACAACTTAGCTAAAAGCACTGCCCGAGAGCTGCCCAGACGCAGCATGGCCTGCAGCAGATATGAGTATGTGAAAACATACGAGCAGGACGACACCATTCTGCCCAATGTGTGGATTGTTATTCGAATTGATGGCAAGAAATTTCACAAGTTCTCCAAGACCCACAACTTTGAGAAGCCCAACGACGAGAATGGTAAAGACAACACCCAACTGAACAACAAGATTATGATTCGCCGAACCTTTCCTTGTAGCTCTCAATGTAATGAATGCGGCTGCCACGGCTGTGATGCAGGAGTTCCGCGATGTTGTCCTCGCCTACGGCCAGAGCGATGAATACTCGTTTGTGTTTCGCAAGGAGACGGCGGCATTCAAGCGGCGCTCAGCGAAGCTACTGACCTACGTCACCAGTCTGTTCTCCACGAGCTATGTGATGCAGTGGCCCAAATGGATGAACCAGCCCCTGGCCTATGCCCCGTGCTTTGATGGGCGCGTGGTGCTATATCCATCGGATGAGAACCTAAGGGATTATCTGAGCTGGCGGCAGGCCGATGTCCATGTGAATAATCTGTACAATACCGCATTCTGGAAGCTGGTGCTGGAGTCGGGACTGAGCAACCAAAAGGCCGAGGAACGGCTACGCGGCACCTTCTCGGCGGATAAAAACGAATTGCTATTCCAGGAGTTTGGCATCAATTACAACAATCTGCCAGCCATGTACCGGAAGGGCACGATACTGCTGCGGAAGCGTGTAATCAGCGATGGCGGAGATAACGATGAAAAGGGCAGACAGGCCATTGTACCGCTGCACGAAGATCTAATTTCATCGCACTTCTGGAAGGTGCACACAGAGATCTTGGGAAAGTATGTGCCCGGCACCTATAGGGCGCCGGAAACCATGCCCAGACTAGTGGACTTGCAATTGAACGCCAAGCAGGAGCAGCGAGGAGTGGAGGAGGAACAAAAGCAACCAGACAATCTGGCCGGGATTAGCTGATAGTTCAACTTATGGCAATATATTTTAAGATTAAGGTTACATTAAGCACACGCTACAAAAAAAAAAAACAAACTGTCTACTAGTAGTCATCATCGTCGTCGTCGTCATCATCCTCACTGGGCTTGCTGGCAATGGAGCCGTCGGCGTGGGGTGGCTTTTGGATCATAGCCGCCGCCTGCATACTCATCCACTGTTGCTGCTCCTCGCGTGCCTGCTCTTCGCGCGCCTTGGCGAACAGCTCCTGCTGCTGGCGCAGCAGCTCCTCCTCGGGTATGCCCAGATTTTCCAGCCTTGTGCTTTGTCTGCGTCGCTTGGCAGCCACCTCCTTGCAGTCGTGCAAGACCGCCTCCGCCTCCTGCTTGTAATCGGTGAAGCCCAGTCGCTCCAGCGCCTCCAGGACATGCTCGGCATTGATGGTCTTCTTGTTGCGCAGATTGCACACTTCGTTCGCCTCCGAACTGATCAAGTGGATAAATTCCGAGCAGCAGTTCAATATCAGCTCGCGACTCTCGTTGGCCACGCGCACCGTGGGCACCAGCTCTTTGATGATCTTGTTGATGCTGGCCCGCGGCAGAGTGAGCTCATCATCCTCGGCACTGGGGGGCAGCAGCTCCTCCTGGGGATTGGACATGGCGTGGCTCAAAAATGTAAACAAAAACCAAGCGAAATTAATGGAAAATGCTGCTTCTTGCTGGAGAGTGTTGCAAAACAGTGCTGGGCAATGCCACACTCAAAAATCGATATCGAAACAAACCTATCGACTGCGCACATACGGAACGCAAAACAAGATTTTCACATTTAAAATATTAAAAACAATTTAAACAATGGACGACTACGACTCGGATGATGAAAAGTCTCAAGTGGAGAAGCTGCGAAATGCCAAGGTGCCGCGCGGCATGTTTGTGAGCGGCTGGGACGACGACGCCGATGAACTCATTGAGGAGGACAAGAATCCCCAGGGTAAGCGGCACAAATTCAGATTAAATTCTTCTTCTACAAAGTTTTTTTATCTTGGTTCAATGCTCAGCCAGCGTTGAACGCATGATACTGTGGGCCGTCAACGAGAATCGTATCAGTGAGGTGCGTGAAATCCTCCGACTGGACCCGGATGCAGTCAATGCCAGGGACAGCGATGGCTACAGTCCACTGCATCGGGCCGCATACAACAATTTCGTGGACATTGCCAAGCTGTTGCTGCAGCACAAGGCCGATCCCAATGCCCGCACCGATCTGGGCTGGACACCGCTGCACTCTGCCTGCAAGTGGAACAATGCCGATGTGGCCCAGCTGCTGCTGCAGTTTGGTGCCGATGTCAATGCCGAATCGGAGGGCAAACAGACGCCATTGCACATTGCCGCCACAGTGTCCAATTGCAGGAATACAGCCACCACCCTGCTGCTGGACAGGAATGTGCAGCCCAAGAAGGAGAACAATTCGGAGGAGATGGCTGCGGTTATAGCTCGTCGCACGGGCATGAGTTATCCGATCTTTGAGATCGCCCACGAGGCCTTCGAATGCGAGACGGGACTGATAGATTAAAAAAACAACTAGCCATCATATGTGCATAATAAATATAATACCTAATATACATTTTATTCAAATATCAAATATCGAATCACCCTTCCCCCATCGTTCAGCTGGCTGGTGCCGGAGTGCGCACAAAATGCTCATAGAATGATTTTGTATACTTGATCATCTCGTCCTGCATGGCGGCAGGCACAAAGTAGGGATTACCCTGACCGCCCTCAATGGTGCCCTTGGCCGTGTATCGCATGTAGCTGGACACAGTCGTCTCCGGCGGCAGCACGGCGCCATCCTCAATGATGCAACAGTCTTTGATTACACAGCGACGACCCTAAAAGTGGCGCGAGAGAGAGAGATTATGCTGTGTGATTTGAGTGGATAACCTGCTGCCAAATACTCACAATAATCGCATTTTTGCCTATGTAAACGCAGGAGCCAACTGAGGCCGCAGACACCACGGCGCCCTCGCCCACAAACACATGATCGCCCATGTGCATGGGAAAGAAGGCGATGCCTTTGCTGAACTGCTTGTACGGCGGTCGTATCACCGAATCCTTGCTAATCACACAGTAGCGCCCGGCGCGCACATTGGCCAAGTCGCCGCGTATGATGGCTCCACTCTGGACAATCACCTTGCCGTTCAGCACAATATTCTGCGAGCCACAGAGCACTGTGTGGCGGCTCACTTTGTTGCCAGACGCCTGTAAACAAACAAACAAAAAAGTTTTTGGCCAATGGACACGATGAGGTCATCAAATTTGTCTTGCTCCAAAGGGATTCTTGCAACATTGTTGCTACTTGCCGTCTCCACGTATTCATCTTTGCTGTAGTAGGTGTCCGCTAACTCCATTTGTTTGGGGTTATACGAAACTTTTTTCTTAAATTTGTTTTTTGCGAATTTTGTTTTTCGGTCAGCTGAAATCAGTGCTGCCGATTGCGCCTTTTCAGCTGTTTTTTGGCTTTTTTTTCTGCTGAAAAGTTTGCAGCACTGGCACATTCGATGTTAGCCAACACTTTACCACAAATATCGTATAAAGTTATCGATGTAAAACGAAAAGAACTAGTAGCTATCGGATCAAGTGGTTCCCATACCGGAATCAGCTCGAACGTCATCGATACATCGCTGGCTGCTGTGGCGCGTATTTTTAAATTCAAATTCATAGTGTTTTTTTATTTAAAGTTTAAATTGATGAAGTTTGTATTACATTTAAAGGCATTTCCCATTAAATCTAATCATTAATTAGATGCACGCGATTTTCAACAAATTGCAGCGGCCTTTGGCAGCGTTTTGCATGGAAAAATCGCAGGTGTTTAACCCGCATTGACCCTGAACTTTATGGCATGCATGCAACAATCACGATGCAGATTAGACAGCTGCTCTGCACAGACAGAGAAATCTTCTAGTAACACAAAAAGAATGTTAATAATTGCGCACAGCTGGTGCGGTCCCCCCCTCCGCCAAATGGTCAGTGATGATAACCTTCCGCCAACTAAGACCAACTTCCCGCTGGCGCTGTGCTCCAATGATGTTCCAATTAATGCTCTTAAATAATCGCAAACGCGGACCCCCCAAGCCCCAGCCCCCAGCCGCAGCCGCAGCCCAGCCCCATCGTTAACCTTCAAAGTGCACGCTCGAATGCCCTCACGAGGCGGCAGGCAACAAGTCTGGCCAATCATAGTAGCATTTTAATATCTTATTGTTTGTGTTGCTTGGTCTTTGGGGTTCTCTGCCATTCAGCCATTCAGCCATGCCCATACTTATGGTAATCCATTACGGTATGTCCATATACTTATATACCCATAGGATTTTTGGGTGGGCTATAATTATGCTGTTGGCATAGAAATTAATTTAATTTGTTGAAATATGCAAATATTTAATTAAAGATTTTCTTTTCCTTTTAGGCACCCCCCCAACCCCAACCCAAATGTAAAAATGTGAGGTAAGTGGGAAAATGTTGGCATTTTATTGCAAACCTTTAAACTTCTTAGAACACTCTTGAACCATTCTGAACTTTGCAGTTGTTGTTTTTTTTTGCTGCAGCTAATTCGGGTACTTCAAAGCAGCCGCCGAACACAAATCGCTTAACCTTCTGTCTGGGAAAAGCGCCACTAAATCTATTAATCTGTTGATGTTTGCACTTTTGAACTAAAGGTTAATAAACTTGAACTTGAATATTGTTTGGAAATTAATTGAGTTGTGTTGTTGTGTTGCTGTGCCGCACACAGACAACATTTAAACGAACGATCTAACAAATGATACAAATTTGTTTTCCGAGTTGATGTTTGGTTTTTGTTTTTTGTTGTTGTTTGGTTCTTTAAATTGTGTTTATTGTTGTGTTGAGCGAATCCGGTAATTAATGTGGTGTGAAAGAGTTCGTGTAGCAATTTCAAAAGTGATTCAAATATTGACCAGTTCGGGGTCAAAACTTTTCCGTAAACATTTTAAATTAATTTCAGAGTTGTTATCTTTTTTGTGTAACATTTGTCCGCACCTTAGATATTGAACTGATAATATTGTTCAAGAAAAATAAAACTTTCTCTAGCGTTCAATACAAAAGAAACAAAAAAAACAAAAAAAACCAAGGCCATGCACACAGCTCTTGGCTGTGGCTCTAGAACAGTCTAGTCAAGTGTTTGCCTTACACCACGACTCGCGCCATGAGCCTCCCTACCTCCCTCCCACGACGACTCTTCTGCCACAAAACGACCTTCGGATACATGGAGGGCCCCCCCATACAGACTATGTAAATACTTACAAAAGACCAACTCATCCATGGCCTTGATAATCATTTATTGCTGTTGCTGTGATATTTGGATATTCATTATTAAATGGCCATTGCTTTTGAGGCTAATCAAGATCAAGAAACACGCACTATAAACATCCGCCAACCCATCCCTCACGATCTCAGATTTCAGTTGGGATTTGGATGCTAATCTTGAGGCGTATTCATTCAGTTTGTTTTTTTTTTTATGGCTTTAACCTTTTTTAATTGTTTTTTTTTAGTTGGCTCTCAGTAGAGAAAAACTAAAACATTTCAACACATAATTAATAAATGGAAACTGAAACAGAAACAGAAACTGAATCGAAAACAATGCCAGTGCTATCCAGTTGGGGTCCGTGCGAGTCATGTCAGATCTAATTGAATAATTGCACATAACTTGCATAAATCTACACTGAGAGAAGCCAAGAAATGTTTTTTAATGATCATAGATCAGTTTTAGATGAGTTTTGGATTTTCTAAGATTTTTAGACCTATTTAAAATGTCAAAAAATGTTAACTCATTATAGCAGAAATTTCTAAAATCCCTACAAAAATATTTAGAAAATATATTTTTATTTTATTTTATAACTTAAAATTTTGCTCAGTGTTTTTAATATCATACTTGGCCAAGAACAATGAAGGAGAAACGACAAATGAAATTAATTGCAATTAACGAAATTGAGAAAATTATTCATTGGATTTATTGCGAACAAGGTAATCGTAATCCCACCCCAAGACAGACAGAGATAGAGCGATAGAGTGGGGTGGATACCGGGAGTATAAGAGCGAGATAGAGTATATGGCATAATATTTTCACTTTTTGCATGCAGCTCTCCAACGCGTTGACCAACTGAAAAAAAAACAAACATATAACAACAAAAAAAAATTCATCAAGTGAAACAAGTTTTTTATTCAAGTCTTTTGTTTCAATCGATAAATTGTCTCCATAATTGTCAATTTCATAGATAAATGCATATACATATATATGTATATATCTAGATATATTTGTGGCCATGTATGTACATATGTTTTAATCCTATACTTGTGTGCTGGATGTTCAGATTGACAGAACAAAGGTGACGTATCAGATGGAGCCATGGGAATGTCAGCATTCTATGAATATTTCAATAAAACTTTTTTGATTAAGGCTGCGCTTATTTTTGTAACCATTTATGGTCCGCCCCCAGAATGTGTGTGTTTGAGAGATTATTAATAATGAATAAAATAGAGGCGCGGTTTTACCAGCAGCTTTACATTTACATCTACAAAACCTTTTGCTTTAGCTTGCAGCTCAGTTCTTTTAATTCCTGTTTTTTTTCCCTCTGTAAAATTAATCCTATAATATTTATATCTCTATCTTTTAATAACTGCTACCTCAAGGTGTATTTTTTAGTTTATTTCCTCACCCTCTTTATGCCTCGGATAATTCTATAGTTCATCATTGAATGTTAGAATTATTTTGTCTAACTTTTTGCTTGATTCACTGAACTCCAAAACAGAAAAATACTCGTACCATTTGCACTGGCGACTAATTACAGTCATTACAATACAATATGGCAGCCGGAATGGCTTCCTCATGTCAAGATCTCTCTGGCCAAACACGCAGCCGAGTAGCTCGCGATTAGTTATGGAGTTATGGACCGATGCCGAGAGCACCGAGTTCAAAAGCCGAGTTCAAGAACTAACTAACGATTGTCCGAGACAATGGCACAGTACCCAAGGAGCACATGTACATGTAGTGGGGGGGATCTGTGTAGTGGCGCTGCTGTTCAGTGAGGCATTTTGTATTTTGAGGTTTTGGCTTAGAAGTTGCTAAAAAAAAAAACATGGAAAAAATTGTGTGAAACTTGAAAATGAATGCGCTTTTGGATGTGGCGATTATTAATAATACAAATCAAAGCTTCTCTTTTTTTCACACTGCCTTCCCCAAGTTCTGCTTGGTTAGGCGTGGTTAGGCCGGCCTGCATGGCGCTGGCTCGAGGCGGCACGGCGACCTCTGCTTTGCCCAAGTTGTGTGCTAATTAAAACATTAAGCCTCTCAGGGCCCTCGGAGGCTAAAGTCGCCTTTAAAATGCCTGTGTTAGTTTCGCTTTTTATTTTTGTACGTCAAAATCGATCAAAATCTACAGCTTTGAAGTGGCTGGCCCCCGTGCAGCAAAAATTAAAAACCAGTAGAGGGTAAACTGTCAAACAGTCAACACACGAAACACAACACAAAACAAGACATGGGCAACAATCGCAGTACACCAGCGGCAGTTGTACATACAGGCTGTTGTACAGTGCGGCACATGATTGAATAGAAAGATAGGCATGGGCATGGATGTGCACTAGGATGATGCCTAGCCAGGCTGCAGCTACGCGTCATTACCTTTAAATATTTAAATATTTAATTCCTTTAAATAAAGTTCTTTCGCTTAAGGAAAATTTGTACAGCAAATCAACGGAGAGCAAATTACTATCAATAAAAATAGAGATTCACTTTCTATACCTTCTTTTAGTTATAAACTCCTCTTCGGCAACGTTCCCCACTGTATTTGGCCAAAATGTTTTATTTTATTTGTTTTACGCTTGATGTATTGTTCCAATTTTGATTGCTTTATCGAGGCTCTGGTTTTTTGCATGCGGGCGCTAATAGTTTTGAACCCGAGCAGAGACCTAAATAATAATAATAATCCAAAATCCCACAAAAATCAATTGGCAAATTTGTATGCCATGGGCAAGGCTAACCTCGAGGCACGAGCTCACAGACAGTCCGAGTTGCTTTTGGGCTGGGTTTTTGGGGAGCTATTTGATTTGATTTCTGTTTCTGTTTCTGTTACTTTATTATTCTGTTGTGACTTGGCTTGTTTCCACTTCCCGTTGCCTTTCAACAGCTTTGATAAACTCCCGAATAACTGATATTGATTGATATCGGGGGGGAGCCTGCAAAAAAATTGTCTAAAAAATAAATGTAGATTAAATCTCTTGTGGTTCGTTCAGTTGATTGAACTTTAAAAGGTTTTTCCGCACAAAAGTCTCTTGAAAACTCAGTGTCAAATTTTGTGTGTGTGTGTGGATTTCTTGTTGGGTGGCCCGTGCCCCCGTCTGATTGATTGACAATGATTGACAATTAAGCCAGCAAATGTGTCGGTACATACATTTACATACAGCAGTAGCATTTCGCATGGAACATTGAACGGGCTTATTATGGCAGTAACTC